TACTAGTCTGCACTAACAGAAATGCCTAGCATGTGATGGGGTGTTATAATGCAACACCTTTTACAGAATTTCAAGAGTAGCTGTTGTTCCGTTCAACAGCTTTTATTTTCAAAGCAAAAACTGAAATTTCTGAATTCTTGAATCCTCCCTTCATTGTATTGTTTTCTCAGACAGCATCAGACCCCCTTGATTGTTTTTCTTGGAAATAAAGAGAGAGAAAAATTAGATTGCATGTCAAACTAAATTAAAAATACAACTCTGCCTTTAACAAAATTGATGATGCATGTAGCTTGGATAGCCTCTGTGATGGTGCAGCAATATTACACTAATTAATATGAACGGCCTTCTGATATCATTTCTTTGTGTTTAGAGCTTACAAATACCCATGCTAAGCTTACATATTTACATTTAATGTGCATAATATTGAAAATGCAGCTCTGAGGAAAGCTACTTAGGACCAATTTAACTACAGGTCTTCAAATCTTCCTGGGTTTCAGATCTTTGGGACAGGACTTTCCATTCCACCAACAGCTGAAGTATATTTGGTGAGCAGAAGGTTATAGGCTTTCCAGGCTTTGGTGTTCGCTGATTAGGACATGAGAAGGATGCCCCCTGTCCCCACTGTTACTTATTTTAGCTCTTGAAGTATTGTATAGAGACAGAAGACAAGATGAGAGAACTGCTGGAGAGAATATTAAAATAGAAATATATTAAGGGCATTTGCTGATCATTTGGTGATAATTTTGGAAGATCCTTTGGAAGGAATAGAAATATTAATGGAAAAATTAAAGGATTTTGGTTAGCTGGATTTAAAATTAATAATGTGGAAAAGAAGATGTTAACACAAAATATGAGGATGGAAGAGCAAAAAGAACTGATGGAAAAAAACTGACTGTATTACCTAGAATGATGGTTTTGTTTCAAGCAATGCCTATTTTGAGAACTGAAGTATCATTTAAGCAATGGAAGAAAGATACAGTATATCTAGGTTCATATGGTGGGATGCAGGGGCACAGTGGCTTAATGGGACTGGAAGTTGCTGGCCAGAAATGGTTGACACTTCAGCAGTTCGAACCCAAGCTCCACACGTTGGGGTGAGCTCCTGTCTTGTGCTCTTCGATCCTGCCCACCTAGCAGCTCAAAAGCATAAGCGAGTAGATAAATAGGTACTCTCACCCGGTAGGAGGAAAAACACTGGCAGCGCCTTGCATGGGAAAATGGGAATTGGTTGCCAGTTGCTGGACGCAATGCAATGGAAGAGACTTCGATTTCCTCTGACCGCCAGCTGGTCTCTGCCCTAGGAAGGAGGCAATGGCAAACCACTTCCGAAAAAACCTTGCCAGGAAAACTGCAGGGACTCACCCAGGCAGTCTTCACAGAATCGGTCACAATTGAAAGTGGATTAAAAAAAAAAAAAGTTTGTATGGTGAGAGATAAAACCAAGAGTTAAATTTAAAATGCTTCAGGATGCAAAGGAGTGGTGGTGGTGGTGGTGGTGGTGGGGGGACTGGAGGACTGGGACTGCCTGATCTGAAATTGTAGTTTGCAGCCTGATGTTTGGTTTGGATGAAAGAATGGGTGTTGCTGAGAAATAAGAGAATTTTAGAATTAGAAGAGCATGACCTGAGATTTGGATGGCATGGTTTTTTATAGTATGATAAGGTTAATGTAGATTTTAAAAATCATTATGTTAGAAGTGCCATATTGAAAATATGGAATAGATACAAACCCAGGCTGTCCCTAAAAATACCTTTGTGGATCTCAGCACAAGAAGCATTTTATAGAAAAGAAACAGCAGGCAAAGAAAAATGATTAACATAGCAAAAGTTGTTAGAACAAGAACATGGAGAATATAAAGAGCAATTGACCACAGAGAGATTTCATTTCCAATGGTTTTCACATGTACAGTTAAGAGAAAGATTTAAAGTAGATAAAAGGACATTTGGAATTGAATATAAGTCAGAATTTGAAACTGAATTATGTGCAAAAGATGAACATGTAATTGCTAAAATGTATAACCTTTTACTGAAATTTGAAACAGTAGAACAAGTTAAAGAGTGTATGATAAAATGGACTAAAAACTTTGGTTACAATATACAGATGGATCAAAGGGAAATTATGTGGTAAAGGATTGAAGTTCACATTATGTTACAATTTAAAAGAGAATTTTTTATAAAATGATGTACTGTTGGTATATGACACCAGAAAAACTTTCTAGAATGTATAAAGGTACTTCAGAATGATGTTGGAAATGTGGAAAACATGAACGGTTATTTTATCATGCCTGATGGACTTGTAAAAAAGCTAGAAAATTTTGGGTTCAAATACACATAGTGACAAAGAATTTAAAAGATTCATATTCAACTGAAACCAGAACTTTTTGTTGTTGGGACTAATGGATAGACAACTAGAAAAGACCTATGAAGATTGTTTTTGTGTATGGTAATTGCAGTAAGATTATTACATGCACGAAGATGGAAAGATTCTGAAATATCCACAATGGAGGAATGGTTGGTGAAAATTACAGAATTTGCAGAAATGGCAACACTGATTAAGGAAAAGACAATAACTATATTTGTCAGTGACTGGAAACCCTTTATGGACTTTTTGCTGAAAATGGAAAAAAAATATACTTGTGATTTTTGGGTCTGATGATTAGAAAGGGTAGAATATGGAAAGAAGGGAGCCACGATATAACTGCATAGAGGATAACATGTAAATGCACTTATAACTGGTGTAAAGAAGATCAGAGCCCACTTCTTTACATCTCCTTTTTCTTTTCTTTTCTTTTTCTTTCTTGTCTTTTTCTCTTTTCTTTCTTACTTATTCACTTATCACTTTTCTTTACTTTTTTCTTTAAATTTGTATTGTTTTTAATCTATAAAAAATTTCTTCAATAAAATTAATTTTAAAAAGGGAATAAAAATTCCCTCATTAGGGAGCCTAATTAGATGATTATCTGATAACTTTTGACACCAAAGCCTGAAGTCTACCAAGCTAATCTGTTTTATCTGTTGCTACTATTGTTTTGAGCTAGCTCATATAGCAATCTGGCTTTTATGTACTCATTTTGTAGCTGCCATACGGGACAATTTGTGGAAAAGTGAGCTGTAAATTAATTCCTAGCTAAATAATCAGAATTGCAGCAGCAGATGGAAAGATTAGCCCTTTCTTCCACTGTTTTCCTAGAAAAATCAGTCATCCAAAGCTAAATACTGCAAGGAAACTCCTGCCATTGCCAGCCTGAAATTTCCTCTCTGTGCAAAGAACAGCTTCCAGAAACATTTTTCATTCAGATTGTGACAAGGAAGGAAAGGAAGGAAAGACCCTCACTTCATTCTGCGGTGACCAGCCTCCCCTTCTAGTGGCTATTATTATTGCTGTTCTTCTGATTTTAAATAATCTGTATTGGGCCCTCATTTCAGGGAAGGGCAGTTGTGTCAGCAACCTGAAGCCATGCTATTAAGGACCATTTCCTTGAACCAATGGACAGATTTCATCATGTTTTCTCACTCGTCCAATTTCTTCCCTAGATTACTGATCAATGCAGAAGGGAGTGTTGTCTTGTTCCAGTTTGAAGAAGTAGAATGGGACCATAATCAGACTTCTGAAAGAAAAGCTAACAAAACAGACATAAGCAAATTTAATGACTTACCAACCCGAATAAAGGCTTCTCCATATTCACAATCTGAGCGGGAAAAACGAACCAGAAAGAAGAATTGGAAACTATACAGCGAACCCGATGATACGGTGCTGTCCTATTACATTTCCCAGCATTCCACAAGATTATCCAGAGGTGCTCCAGGTATGGACATGTGTGTGTGTGTTTGTGTGTTAGGAAGTGAATCTGGCAAGAGGAATCCCTTCTCCCAACAGTCTTCTCAGGATGAACAGATGGTAGTGAATGGCTCAGTCAACAGGTCGCTTTTTCTTCAGATCAGTAAGATAAATACCATCTACTAATGTGTAGTGTGTATTTTGTACACTTCACTTAGAAGGAAATGAAACAGTGATATCATTTCCCTGACTCTTCATCATCTCATGTTAAAGTGAGAAGTACACTCAAGTTCAGGACATAAACACTGAACTAGAGTGATCAAATAATCACACTGTTACTCGTGCTTTTTTTTTTTTCCCGCTAGCCTGTGGCAATACAAATTCTTTCCAGCCTGTGAATCAGTTCTGAGTGAGTACAAGTAGGGTGCTGCAGTTGCTGGATATTTTTGGACAATTGCTGAGTCTGCAGAAATAAGCAGAATTATTCTTAAGATTTAATGTACTCTGTAAAGTCCCGTTATTTATATCAAATATTCCATTTAATTCTCATGGAGGTATTTCAGTAAGTTTTAATAGGTGACAATGGAATTGTAAGAGGGACTAGAGGTGCTGCCAGAGAGCTTCTTAGGGCTATCAGTCAAATTATTATATAGGTATTCTGTTTTGTTGTACCTTAATGTATTTTTAATGGAAAAAAACAGACATGGTGAGTTAAGATAGATTCCAAGCAAAAGATACGAAACCTATGTTTCCTCTTCCATAAAATTCTGCAGTGAAACAGAATAACTGCATGATAAAAGCCTCATCTGCAAACATTGTGAGTATCTGTTCCCATTTCTTTCAAGATTGAAAATGTCTGATCATGCTTTTCTCCCAAGGAATTTGATATTTTTTAAAAGTTTCCATATTAAGGATCTTTATGCACACAAAGATGCCTTGGATGTGTAGTCTCATTGCTCTACAAAATTCCACTCCCCTTGTGGAATAAACCCTCTAACTTAGGGATTGCAGCCTTATGAGGCCATATTTATTTCAAATAGGTCCATGAAGTTCTGACTCATGGCACTTTGGACTGCTAACCATTTCTTTCTCTTCTAGCTCTCCTTTACGAAATGGTGAAGATCCCTTTTCCCCGGAAGAGGGAGAATATGGCAGCCGCAGAACTGCATCCATATGAAAAGCACAGACTCTCTTTACTTGCCCATCAAACCTTAAAAGAACAGCAATCTTTAACAATATTCAAAGGTCCTTCTGGTAAAGAACTTTTGCATATTATATTTGAAAGTAATGACTGCTACTGGTATCAGCTTTAGACCACTAGAGATAATTAGTATATTAAAAGAATAAATTGCAAACTCCCTAATTTATAAGGAAAACTATAAAAAGTTACAAAAATAGACAAACTTTCAAGATCTCCCAATTTCTTAACAAGGTAGGATGTTCTAAAAAAGGAATTGGGAGGAAATAAAAATGAGAAGAATGGCTTGAAGTCTGCACAGACTCACCTGATTTTCCTAAATCAAAAGAAATGAGAAAAGGTGACTATTCTCCTCCATGTATTTATAAACCATAAGTTAGGATTCCTGAGTATGCAAAGCCAAATTATTAATTATTCAGCTACTGATGGAAAATATCCTTAAACAAGCAGGGGATGTTAAGTACCCTGTCCTAACTTGCTGGTGGAAGTTGGAGGCTTTCATCAAAATGATGAAAGTACTGTTGCACCATCATGGCACATGTTCCACTCCTTTCATATATGCATGCAACAGAAATACAAAAAGGGTAGAAATTGCAAAGCAACAGTGTAATTCTGCTTGCATCTTGTCCCCTTTTTTCCATCCCTGCAGACTGCTGCTTGATTGCTACTAATTATTGTTTCATGACTGCTGCTGCTTGCCCTTTATGTATGACTGGAGCATTGCTTCCTGCTAAGTTAACTGAGGTAACTTCAGGAAAGCATATAAGGAAGCCAGTTACTAGTTTACAATGGTTTCAATTACTGTATATTCTCAGTAGAAATTAATCAACCCAGCTGCTAATGTGATGACATTGATGGGCAAGATGCAGAGCTGATTCTGCAGTAGTGCAAAAACCCTATATAGAAATGCCCTGAAATAGAAAATAGATAAATAAAACATCACCAAGCAGCAAATGAAATATATTTGAGCAAAAACAGAAAGAAGTTGCATTCTTTCTCTCCATCCCCTTCCATTTAGATTCACATTGTTCCCATTCAATGCTCAACAAACCATTCAATCCAAACAGATATTGAAGCCTTTCCTGCACCCAAGATCTTATACTGTAAATGAGAGGAAAACTTTTAGAATTATATAATTCTATACTTATATCTGTTTCAAATCTTTCTTAGTGCCTCACCTACCTTTGCAGTGATTGTGATTATAAGAAATTCAGTATTCTTTTTTACAACACTAAGGACAGAATTTGGTGCAAGAATAGCACATTGTATTTAAAAGTGACTATAGATGCACTTACAAAATTACAAAAGAAATAAAGAGCCCTGTTGAATGTCTGCCTGGCTTCCACAAGGCTTAAAGCTTTCCACCTTCACCAAAGAAGAAAACTTGACTGTTTAGACTGATCTATTATGACATACACATAATATAATTCAGGCTTAAGACAAACTGTAAACTGCCATATGGGGACTATTGTTGACCACTGCATTAAGAATCAAGCCAACTTACTTTAAACTGCTTATTGCACGGCACTTTATCTTAGGCAGATTGTGGTACTATGCTAATATCAATTAGTACTGCTTTTACAGATAGCTTTCAGAATTTGACGAACAGCCTCTTAGTTGCCTCTAGGCAAAATTGAGTGGGTAGGTAGGGAGAAGGAAAGAAAGAGGGGATTGGCAAGTTCATTCTTTACAAATGAAATGGTGGATATTCACCATGATCTAATGTGTGCTCATGTTCAACAAGCTTACTTTAAGTAAGTGCTCCTTGATTGCAACTCTGGTTTGCAAAACCCCACCCTCCAAAAAGTAGATATTTGGGGAAAATGTTAGGAGAGCAAGAGAAGTATCTACTAGTATTGGAGTGGGTGAATTTGGTGCACCATATTCCTTGCATTTCCCCCTCCATAACTATGAGAATTGTTTGCTACTAGTAGAGAATTCTGTAGCAATTCATTGCCTTGCCAAGTATCAGCCCAAATGCAGCCATTCAGTAGGCCCTGGGGCAGGGTGAATTATGATTTGTTCCCTGATATTGGATCCCTGTCTTATTGTGATTGGGTTTTATTTTTGTTCTTTTCTGACACTGTATATTATTCTTTATGATTTATTTCTGTATTTATTTTTATTATCATCATCTGATGGTTTTATATCCTCTGAGTCTCAGTGATTGAGATGGCATACAAGTTCATTGAATTAATGAATCAAACTGGGTGTCCTGGATTTCTCAATAATAAAGCTCAATAAGCTTCTGATTTTTTAAATTCTGTAGGCACCTCCCTATGTCAGTTTTTGAAGAACAGGTTGAGGGGCCCTCTGCTGAGTTGTCCCTGATTTCTGTTCTGATGATATCAGTAGCTAGTTCTTTAGGTTTTAAACTCCTCTCTCTCTCTCTCTTTTTCTTTTTAAAACAGATGATGACTTAGTATCAGAAGCTCCACCCCCTTCTTCATTTGGCCAGAATACCAAGGCTTTGTTAAATCACGTAAAGAAGAAATATCCTGTTGGTCCCATATTTAATGATCATATACTCCTCACTGTCAGTACAATGCACCATGCCTACCAACATGATAATGTTAGTGCCAATATGGCATACAACATGAAAATTACAGATGCTTGGGAACCTGTTCACCCCAAGAAAGAACAGCACAAATCATCTCTATCTCTATCTCTATCTCCTCAAAGTTCAAAGCAAAAGACAACAGATCCATCAGCTGAGATGAAACAACTAAAGGCTTCTGGTGGCACTTTAGGTATGGAAAGGATTTCCTCACCTTATGAAACCAAAATACTACAGCTCAACACAAAGAACTCTTTGCTTGGGGGTAATGTGAAATCCTTCATTCCTCCCCCCACTATCACACGTTCCAAGTCCTGCAGCAGCTTGTCAGGAAGGAAAGCTTATCGTAAGATCCCATCTCCTGCCGCTGAGAGTACCATCATTGGTCATTTTACAAGCTCAGCTGAATCCATCAAAATACCGCGGATGAAGATTGGCCAGCCTGACGCAGACACAACTTCACGGCGAAGAAAAGTCTTACATGCCCATATCCCAAATCCTTATCGGTACAATTCTGGGTTCCAACTTCTGACAACGCAACAAATGAAAGAGTATGAAGAAGCTAAGATAGCAGAGTATCAGGCAACCAAAACAAAAGTTATTGCAAACAGAGAAAAAGTGTGTAAAAATGCTTGGGTGAGGAAAATTAAAGGTCTTCCTATAGATGACTTCACTAAGGAGGGCAGAGTTGCTGCTCCTGAACTTGGAGATAATGTTTTTATTTGAGACTAACTTATCAATACAGCTGATAAACCTTGACAAACAAATACAAAGTGCTGGGCCTGGCAGATTTGGTGCGTGTGCATCTTTGCCCTATCTCCCTCTTTTGGGAGATGGTGACAAATTGCATCTAGCTATTAGACCTTCTTCATTGTCAAAAGTGGGATTCTGGGGTACTTTCCCTCCCTTCCCCAAAATAATTCCAGTTTGCAACATTTGTAGATTTAAAGTGCTCCTGTTCTGTTCAGAAAGGTTTATTAACAAGATTTATGATGATACTGTTTATAAATTTTGCTTCAGAAATGTTATGTGTGCATTCCTTGAAATGTATTACTTAGCTGATATCTTAATGTAACTGTTTCACTGTGTAGTTATAAAAGTTATCACAAGTTATATGTTTATAAAAATAATTTTAAAAGCTTGTAAGTAGTTGTATTTCTGTTTTGTACTGTACCTTCTTACAGAGTAAGTAATTTATTTTTTTTTACAGATTTTGTTCTTACCTGCAAAATAGACTACAGATCAGATCAAATACAATGGTAATTTTCTACATTTGAGATCTGAAATTATCCTGGCTGGGAGAATATTAGGAGATTTCTTTTGTTATAGTAGGGCTTAGCAATCCATCCTTTGCAACTCCCTTTTATATACAACTAGCAATAGTGAGACTGCAAGTTGAAATTAAACTGTGCAGATTTATTCCACTGTGGATTTCTTTTGCAACCTTAACAAACGTACCAGCTGACTATTCTACTCATGACTAAACAATATTATGTGTTATAATTAAAATGTAATTTAATTTATTAACTTGTATTTAAATATGTTGACATGCCTCGATACTGTACATCTAATAATACAGACATGCAAAGATAAAAGCTACTGAGAGAAAATCTAATATACCCACAAGATCATTTCCCTGTCATTAAACCATATGAAAGATAGAATAGAGAAATAGATGATAGATAGATAGATAGATAGATAGATAGATAGATAGATAGATAGATATCTCACATTGATTTGGACAGTAGCACTTTATCTGTCTGACTCCATTTGTTCATTGACACAGATGTTTAAATAGCAGGTTTTGTTTGCTAGCTTTTTACTCATGATGTCATGAGGAGTAGATCCATAGGCATTTCTCTACATTAGAGAGAAATGCCCAGTTGATTTTATCCATTTCTATGAGTAACATGCACCTTCTTCTAACAATAGTCCAAAAGTGAAATTGATAATGTTGCAACTTAGAAACACATTGCTCTTATCAGCTCATGGAAGCCATGCTTTCCTCAAATGACCTTCATAAAAGCAGCCAGAAGGGAGAGGAAAAAACATCATTTGGGGATTTGTTATTAATAATAAGACCTTGTTTTAGACTACTGCAACGTGCACTGCATTGGGCTGCTTTTAAAGACCATTCAGAAACTGCAGTTGTTTTAAAGTGCAGTGGCCCATGTGTTAGCTGCTGTTCACTGATGGGAGCAAATTAAACCAGTTCTATGATAAAATCAACTCAGCATTCCTGCACTGGTTGCCAATAGGCTTTCAGTTGCAATTTAAAGTACTGGCACTAAACTAGCAAGCCTTCATGGCTTGGCACCCAATTATTTCCCTACATTGATTAGTTATATTTAGTTACGCTTAGATTGAGAACCGGTATGGTATAGTGGATGAAGGCATCAGGCTGGAAACCTGGAGACCATAAGTTCTAGTCCTGCCTTAGGCACAAAGCCAGCTGGGTGACTCTGGACCAGTCTCTCTCTCTCTCTCTCTCTCAGCCCTTGGAAGAAGACAATGGCAAACCCCTTTTGAAAATGCTGCCAGGAAAACTGCAAGGACTCATCCAGGCAGTTGCCAGGAGTTCAAGCTGACTCAAAGAGATAGATACATACAAAAAAATTAGATTACATGTTAAGTCTGATCACTCATATCTGTTTTAAAATCTCATTGCTCATTTTCACACCCTATCTGAAGTTAAGAGCAGCTTATACCAGTGGGCACTGATTCCTGGATCTGTAGTCAGTATATGAAGAAATTACATCCATATCCTTAACCTCCTCAGGCAGCTGGAAAGTGAAATTCTGGAGCAGAGTACTGAAGAAAAGGAAGATCTGTGTTAGTGCTTCCTGTGTGCAGGCCTGTTTTCCTGTCAAACAGGAAAAAAAGAGAGTAGATCAGCCAATAGATTGATATGTTGCCCAGGAAACTAACCAGATTATGCAGAATGGATATGAAGATCACAGATAGTTTGAAGAAAAGAAGAAAGAAAACTCTTGTAAAATTGGATATTTTTTGCCTTGGTTTTGTCTGGGAGAGTGAAACAGCTTCCACCCATCATCTTCCATAAGACTGTACCTGCTGAAAATGGCATGAAGGCATCTTTCTCCATGAACTCACCTTCTCAGTTCAGGAAATGATCTGCAGTAAATTCCATTGGATTCTCCCACTGGAGAGGTCAAAATGCACAGATGTGAGCAATGGAAAGACAGTAGTATGCTGCAGGGAAAGAAGAAGATTACTGATTACATCCTCAACACTAGAGAAACAATCTTCTTTTGTTAAAGGCTATGAGTTGTCTTAAATGAAAACAAGTCATTGGCTAACAATGTGGAACATTTTAATAATTTCAGTCTATCAGTGAACTTCTCTGAACTGTTGTTTTATCTGCATTGCTTTAGATTGGGGAATATCTAGGTCATATGTAGGATGACAGTTACAAAATTGTCCTTGTCCTCCACAGAATATTCTGCTAAAATACACTCTCACTATACCGTAGGGATATCATGGGAATTTTGTATGACAAGTTGTTGCCCAGGGAAAGTTTTCAAAACTTTCTTTCAGTTATCTTTGATCTTATGGATAACTGCATTGGTGAAAGGCATCCTCGCTCAGTTTTCCATGGCTGGGGTGAAGTTGGTACCTACTACTTCGTCAACCTCCTTTTGTACTTTTGCTGTAATGAAAAGCATTCAGAATTTACACTTGCAGAATTTTGTTACCAAATTGTTCAAGGTGCCAACTGCCAAGAAGAAGACATCCTCTTTTACATTGCTATGGGGTTGTTGTAACCCTTGATAAGGGGTTTACAATCAGCCTAGTTCATGCCAGCTTCAAGGGTGCTGCACATTCCTTT